AGAGTCTAGGGATTGGGGAATGTGGACTTTTCATTAAAATGGTTATTGAAAGGTTCTTCATGTCTCTGTTGCGATCAAGGTATTTTGCTCAACAAGCACCAGGTCCAACCCTACCATTAGGTGGGGTAGCTACCTCAATCAGGTTTTAGATATCACAAAAGTGGGCAATTGCTTATCTTCAAATTGTTATTTTACTGCCACGGAGAGGTTTGATTTGTGTGTCAAAATAACTTGGACAGTTTTGTCTAGGATGAGTAGACTAGACAGACACCATTTGATGCTTCATCTCAGGCAGTAATTGTCTTCGGTCAATTTTGGAAGTTTGCTGAAGAGTGAAAGATCAATTTTAGGCAAATTGAAGGTATTAGATCCTGAATATAATAAGAGGTACTCAGACTGACAGTAGAGACACACAGGTACAGCTCTGTCACCTCACTTTCCTTGACTGGAAGGACTATGAGTTGTAACACAATTGCCTGTATCTTCTCCTCTGAGCAGCAACTTTAGTGGCACAGGAAGTCACTGACTAGTCCCAATTTTAATCCTACAAAACTCAGACCATGACCAAAATCTTACATGGCATATTTCTAAAGGTAAAGTAGGCTAAATTATTTATTTATTTATTTAAAACATTTATATTCCGCCCTTCTCTCCCCGAAGGGGACTCAGGGCGGAGTACAACATACATTCAATGCAGGGGCATGAAGTCATGATATGCATACATAAACATTAAAAACATTTGTCTCAATATTAAAATTAACTGTTTAAAATTGTCTTGATCATCTGCGTCTAATCTAATTGGTCTGGTAAGGTTTCCTATCGCTGTTTTATTGCACTGTCCCAAAAGCTTGGTCCCACAGCAAAGTTTTACCATCCTTCTGAAGGACAGGAGAGAGGGGACCGATCTGATCTCACCAGGAAGGAATTTCCATATCTGGGGGCAATCACCGAGACAGCCTTCTCTCTTATGCCCACCAATTGCACCTGTGACAATGGCAGGACGGAGAGCAGGGACTTCTCAGAGGATCTTAATCTCTGCAATGGTTCATAGGGGAGATGGGTTCAGACAGGTAAATTGGGCCAGGTCCATTTAGGGCTTTATAGGCCAAAGCTAGCACTTTGAATTGTGCCTGGTAGCAAACTGGCAGCCAGGGGAGCTGGTGTAACATGGGAGTTGTGTGCTCCCTGTATGCTACCCCAGTTATTAACCTGGCTGCCTCTCGTTGGACTAGCTGAAGCTTCCAAGCAATCTTCAAAGGCAACCCCACATAGAGTGCATTGCAGTAGTCTATCCTGGATGTAACGAGAGTGTGGACCACAGTGGCCAAGTCTGACTTCCCAAGGTACAGGTGCAACTGGTGCACAAGTTTTAATTGTGCGAAAGCTCTCTGGCCACCGCCATAACCTGGGATTCCAGGCTCAGCAATGAGTCCAGGAGAACTCCCAAGCTGCGAACCTGTGCCTTCAAGTGGAGTGTAACCCTGTCCAGCACAGGCTGTAACCCTATACCCTGTTCAGCCCTGCAACTGACCAGGAGGACCTCTGTCTTGTCTGGATTCAACTTCAATTTGCTTTGTGGGCTCCCTTGAAGCTGCTGGACTGAGTATACTGGTTCAAGCCAATGGCTGTTGCAGTCAAACAGTGCTTGAAAGGCTATGCACTGTGCTCATTCCTGATCTCTTAAAGAAAGGGTAGGAAGCCTTGGTACTGGAAGGAGCAGATCCCCTAATAAGTATCTGTGCAGGTTCTGGAAGGATACACCCTATATTCCCCATCAATAAGTCCAATTTCTCTGCATCCGGATGGTGGAGGAGGAGCCTTCTAAGCTGTGACACTCCATTGGTAGGACTGTTATGTCTTTGGTAGCCTAACAAGTACAAATGCAGGTATTATCTAGGAATTACTCACTTAAAGACTTTGAGGCCTAACTTATTAACGTGGTTTTGAACTATTTTAACCTTAACCTTTTTTTAACTTGGCAACTTGTTTCCCAGCCCATATTTGTACACTTTTAAACTATTTTAATCAGCCAATACTGATTTCACTTGATCTCATACTGGGCAGAATTCAAATAAATCAACAAAAAGGATCAGAAAGAATTCCCTCCCTGAAGGCTAACATAACTGAGGCCTCAGATTTTTAAAAAAACTTTTGCAACATTCTGCATTAACAATGAAGTTATTAGTAACATAATTGGTATTTAACATCAAATGGCTGCAAATGCATTTTGATCTGGAAGAGCTACATAACCTAGGGGAGTCATTTCTAAAGTGTTGGGAAGATGTTTTCTCTTATAGAGATGGGTTCCGTACAGGTTACAGCAAGGTTTTTTTCACATTGTCTGACACTGACCAGAGAACATCAGTTGAGAGCTCAGATCTTCCACAGGAAACAAAACTAACAAAACCTGATAAACCACCTTAATGCGTGGGAGGCTCAAAAGTGCTTATTTCCTGCCAATAACAAAGGGCACAAGTGAACATAAATTGAACCTAAAACAGAGCCTGGAAGAAAGCTTCAATTGCATCTTTCTTCAGGTCTGGGAGCCATGGTTAATTCTGGACAACTGAGAACCAAGAAGAGGATCTGATGCCACCCTTTTTCTATCCATGGCAATAGTCAAATGGTTTCCAACCTTTGGTCTTCCAGCTGTTTTGGACTTCCACTCCCAGAAATCCCTGCAAGCTTGCTGAAGACATTTGGAGGACCAAAGGTAGGGAACCACTGCAATAAATAGCTGAAGAGGAGGATGGCTTGAGTGTTGCTTTCCAGCCATTCAGTGAAGTTGCGGAGAGCACAGCAAACACCTGGATCAGAAAACAGAATGGAGAATCTTGGGATTTAAAGTGCAAGAAGCAAATTCCCAAGCTTAGGAAACTTGTGTGAAATATAAAACGGATTGAAGCTGGGGAGATGTCGCCAACTTTCTCTTCTTTGTTCCTGCCTTGCCTGCTTTTAGCTAGTCATTACTCATCAATTTTTTTTAAATGGCAGCCAAGTCAACAATGTACCATAAAGTTTTTTGAGGTGCAGCTGTTCTGCTAGTGATCCCTGAGAACAGCTGTTTCTACCTTCCTGACCCTTTCCCAAATGGCAAATTTTTCAACTTTTGAGTCCCTCATCAAGTGTTGAAAGCCTATGAAGTCTCAAGCCAATTTCTTTCTCCATACAGGATGTGAACAAAATGTCAATTGATGTGAAAGGGAGGAAGGACAGGAGAAAAAGGAGTTCTCTAATTACCATCACCCACTGCTCTAACTTCTCTAGTTCCTTTTCTTCCTCTTCCTCTTTAGTTAGGAAGCATGAAAGAGGGACAATTGTGCTGAGTGGTTGTGTGATGTGCTACAGCTGGTACCACACATGTTATAAATAATGACCAACAAGCTCTCCCTATTTTTAGCATTACGAAGCAAATGCAAAGAGCCACTGGAAGTTTCATGCATCATTCATTTCCACCGGTCCATTTTAATTGCTATTCCTAAAAGTCAAAAATCTCTAGGCAAAGGACCAGCTGGGATCTCAAATGGGAATGTGAAACATTTATAGCTTAGGAAAGTTAGGAAGTTTCTTTCTCTCCTTGGAACACAAGCACCACATCTTGCCTCCTAAATAGTGTGTTTCATTGTGGAATCTGCTTTTTCCAAAGATTTGTCAGATATCAATGTCCCTATATATAGAGGACATCTCTCTTCTATCTTCTTTGTTATATGCCTTCCAGTCATTTCAGACTTACGATGGCCATACAGTCAGCCTATCATGAGGTTTTCTGAGTTAAGAGTGACTGGTCCAAGCTCATCCAGTGGGTTTTCATGGCCAAGCAGGGGATTCATACCCTATTCTCCAGAGTCGTAGTTCAACAACCAGACCACTACACCATGCTCACTTCAAGGACTGCTTTCTTATCTGATGATATGTAAAAACATCAGAAGTTTAGCTAGACTTCAATTCTGTTTAAGAGAGAAGATAACTGACCGGCTGGCAAAGCGATGGCTTTAATGGACTTGACGGACTGCTTTTAGGACAATGACTTAAATCGGTGACTGACTGTTTGAATATTTTATAGTGTTTTTATATTGTTTTTTATTTAAATTGTATATTTATGTTTTTGGTTGTGGGTACCATGGTGTGCTGGTTGTTAGCCACCCTGAGTCCCTCTGTTGAGGTCAAGATAGGATGGGATACAAATGTCCAAAATAAATAAGTAATAAGTAGAAAGTCTAGAAGCTTGAGAGCAAGGTATCACCACAAACTTGGGACTACAAGTTGCCAGCATGGTTACTGGATATGACGGCTGGCGATTTCCTGGAATAATTTAACCACAGTAATCCATGCAGTTGTAACTTTGCAATTAGGTTTACAGTGGGGCTGCACTTCAAAGGTACGTCTACACTGTAGAATTAATGAAGTTTGATAGCCCTTAATGGTCATGGCTTAATGCTATGATAGAGGGGGTTGCAGTTTTCCAAGGTCTTCAGCCTTCCCTGATAAGGAATGCTGATGCCTCACAAAACTATGCATTCCATAGTATTGAACCATGAGAATTAAAGTGGCCTCAAACTGCATTAATTCTACAGTGTAGATGCACTGAGTGGGGTTGCCCTTGAAGACAACTTGGAATCTGCATCTAATGCTAAGTGTAGCAGCTAGGCTGCTGACCAGAACATCATACAGAAAGTGCATAACACCAGTTCATCAGTACAGTTCTCCCAGGCAGGTATGAGGGCAAGCTTCATTGCCTCCCTCTAGAGTTGCCCATTTACATCATATTTGCATCTACAGACCTCAACTATCTTGAATGTCCTTTTTTCCTAAGCAAGAAAGACTCAAAGACTATCAGGACCTGATTTATTATGATTTCATTTACCCAATCATTTTGGTTGCCCATTTCTCCACTAGAATCACTTCTACTACACAGTGGGCACACTTTTAAAATGTGTGTATGAAAAAGTATTAAACAGAAATAAATTCTTCCTGCTTCCCATTCCTATGCCCCCTCTTACCGGTTTTCGGGATCTGAAACAGCCATGTTTCGCGTAACATAGCACATTTTGAGTGGGATTGTCTTCTTGTCTCGGTTTATAGAAAGAGAGAGCTGGGACAGAGGATCGGTGGATGCATTTCCTAAGCGCGGTGACTCCGGTGGCGGTGTTTCCCATCCAATTTCAGAAACAGGCGAGCCTTTCTTCACGTAAGGGGTGGCTTCTCTCATGTATTTCACTGTGGGAAAAATACAGGAAAATAAAATGGATATTTAAGAAAAGCAAAGAGGACAAGATTTGACAACGGTACTTCTATCTGACTGAACGGAACAAGTACTGCTTGTAGCAGTACTTCCATATTACCAGCTGGGATGGACAGATGAGCAAGAAAGATTGTCTCCCATCCATAACCAACCACTCACAGTACTTTAAAATGTTATGAAAGAAAGGAGGAGAAGAAATATAAAAGAAGACCTTGGCCATTTAGCATTTGGGAATCTGGTTGGTGTTAGAGGGAGGCTATGGAATAAGTTTTAAAAAGTATTTAGCCTTCTCTACCAAAGAGAGCTGGTGTCTCACCAAACTACATATACACAAATCACTATAGCTAATTGTCAGTATTCACACATGTGTTATGATGATAGCAAGAACACTCTACCTCATGGGGTTGCTTGTATGGATTCCAAAGACAACACAATTGAATAAGCATTATTGTTTGCAGGGGGAAAGTTAATACTTAGACTGAGAGGGGGAAAGAAAACCACTGCTCTTAGAACCATTATTTATTCTGGCTTTCACCAGTTTATAAACCTGTAATTAATTACTTTGTTTATCTTTCTGAACTGCTTTTTGAATAAAGATCAAAGCAATGTGCAGTGCGTATATATACGTGAACACTCAGCTATTGTTTTCAGTTGTTAGCTAGCTTACTAGCAGTTTTAATAAGAGAGCATTTCCTCTTCCTACAAGTCAGACAGGTAGTCATAGACTTCTCAATATCAAGAACCATAGCCATATAGACACAAATGCCATATAGACACAAATGCGACATGCTTCTGGTATCACGAATGAAATGAATTGGACTATCATCTTCAAAATGCAAATAAATTTTTTCATGTCAGGAGTGACTTGAGAAACTGCAAGTCGCTAATGGTGTGAGAGAATTGACCGTCTGCCAAGACATTGCCCAGGGGACTCCCTGATGTTTAATGTTTTACCATACTTCTGGGAGGCTTCTCTTATGTCCCTGCATGTGGAGCTGGAGCTGACAGAAGGAGCTCAATCTACTCTCCCCAGATCCAAACTGCTGACCTGTTGGTCAGCAGCCCTGCCAGCACAAGGGTTTGAACCCATTGCACCACCCCGGGGCTCCTCTGCCAAAGGGTGCTGGTGCCTCACCAAATGACAAGTGCCAGGATTCCACACCATTGAGCCATGGCAGTCAAAGCAATGTGCATGAATTCTATAATGTAGATGTACCCAAAAGTCTGATGTTACTCCAGGAAGAGTCTTGGGCTTCATCTACACTGCAGAATTAATTGTGATTTGGTGAGGCACTGGCCTCTTTTGCAGAGAAAGCTAAAGACCTTCCAAAACTACAACTCCCAGGATTCTATAGCATTAAGCTATGGAAGTTTGAAGTCGTGCAAAACTTGTGCAAATTCCACAGTGCAGATGCACTCTTGAAGGCTCCATTCCAGCAATGGGTAGAAAAAAGGTCAAGAGATGCAGCCAAGGTAAAGTGGGTAGACCAAAGTGGACATCTTCCAATGAATAATGCAATCCTCAACTGTATGTACATCTCCTAAGGAGCAAGCTCTAGATCAAAGCATCCTGGGGCTCATACACACTACAGAATTATAGTACACTATGCAATTTGAACTGCTATGATTCCAACCTACGAAGTCCTAGGATTTGTACTGGTGATACTCAAGAGCACACTGGCTTTGAAAATGTCCTAAACTGCTAATCCCAGGATCTTATGGTGGGATTGTGGCAGTTGAAGTGGAATAATCATGTTAATTCTGTAGTGGAATTGGCTCCTGCTTTACTAGAGATTATGTTCCATGGAAAATCATGCCATGCAAATCTTATCCAGACTAAGAATTTGTGTCCAAGTAATACCTCACTGTAGAATTTAAATAGCCTTTTATCTACAAGCTTTGTTGATAAGAGAAGAGGAAGCTGGCCCAGGACAGAGAGAATCTGGTGGAAAATTAATGTTTCCTCGTCTACAAACCGAACCCCACAGGTCCTAGTAGTGCAGGTTTTTCCCTATTTCCCCCCTACTTTTTATATCACAAAATCCTGAAGTTGTAGCACTTACACACAAAAAGCAAAACACCAGTGTCACCCAAGATGTTTTCCTCAATAAAAGCTAATGCATGAATACTGAACGATCAAACCAGTCCATACTTCAGGAAATAATGACCGGCTGCTCACTGGAGGGAAGAGTATTAGAGGCAAAGATGAAGTACTTTGGCCACAGAATAAGACAGGAAAGCTTGGAGAAGATGCTGGAGAATATGGAAGGAAAAAGGAAGGAGGGCTGAGCAAGGGTAAGATGGATAGATGTTATCCTTGAAGTGACTGGCTTGACTTTGAAGGAGCTGAGGGTAGCGACGGCCAACAGGGAGCTCTGGCGTTGACTGATCCATGAGGTCATGAAAAATCGGAAGCGACTGAACAAATAAACAACAACAACCAGGAGCAGGATTCTGTTTCTTGTTTTTTTTATTTTTTTAAAAAGAGAGATACCAAAGGAAAGGCATCAAAGAAAAATGCATGGTGTATACAAATCATACAGAAGACATAGGAGATATATATATATAATATATAATATAAAAATCCTGTTAGCAAAATTAATATGAACAAGGATGAGTAAGAATCAAAGCTCAGAAAGCAATCAGAAATTCAAGGATGTCCTGGAAGAAATAAATGTCTGACAGCTACATAGGCAATAAATTACACTTTTTCAGGGGCTTGAGACATTTATGTACCCATCCATCTTATTTTTCTTACAGGTAAAGGCTTCCAAGACAGCGAGTAATAGATTTAAAAACAAGTGAAAAGCCGGCACACAGCATTCTTAAAAAACACCCTCAGACATGGTACAATCAAAACAGAAGGAGAGTAAATTTTAACAGCGAAATAATCAGAAGAAGAATTTGCATATATATCATGCTTAATAAGACCATAAAAGTTAACAAGTAAGGAAACGTGGGTCTTGGAGTTCTATATAGGTTTAGTACTATGACAAAGAAAATCTCTTTTCTATACCAGATGCACCTTGGAATCATACTAAACATTTGCTAAATAAACGATGCATTTTAGTTTATTAAATTACATGTGTCAACTGAAGCATCTTTAAGCATCTCTAGGACACTGTGCAAAGGATGTCAAACTACATGAAAAGAGATTCCACCTAAACATTAGGAGTAACTTCCTAATGGAAAGAGCTGGTTGACAGTGAAATATGTTGCCTTGGGAGTCTTGGTGGAGTTTCCTTCTCTGGAGGTTTTCAAATAGAGCTGGATGGCCATCAGTTGGAAGTACTTTGTTTGTATATTTCGACATGGGAGGGGATTGGATGGGTTTTACGGTCTCTTCACATTGTATGATTCCATGATGATATGACTCCTGGATTCCCGTTTTGAAACTCATAAATGGTGGTTATAATAGTCAACAGCAGCTAAAGCCAAATCTCCGCTCTTAGCACCTTGGATTCTTGATCTGGATTTGGGAATAGATATTAGAACTTCTACTGGAATTTAAAAGACCCCCGTCTCTCCAAGTGAGAGAGTCCCCCTCCCTCAGAAATACATTCATTTTCTTTGCTATTTTGAGAACCAAGTGACCTGTCTCCCTATAAATCTATTTTTATCCATTGCACTCCAACAGCCTCTGAATATGAACCTTCTTTATTCACCTATGGCTTTAATGCTATGTTCCATGCTCTTGGCAAAAGATTATTTTTGGCCTCACTGGAGACTCCTGGAAATGCCATAGCATCTCCTAAAAGCAATGGGAGCAGATCAAAATGTCACAAGCTTTAAGAGTTTGGAAGCCCACCTGAAACAAAAGGAAACAATCAAGGCCAAAAAATTGCTGGGGTGGAGAAAGGATTGCTGGGGTGGGGAAAGAAGAGTACACTTTCCTGGGGCAGGAGCATCCAAAAGCCCTGATCCAGCCGTCATTGTAGCCTGATTTCCAGGCAAAGGTGAAGTGAAGCTAAGAGTAGCTCATGCCCAAAGTTATTTATGGAAATTTATTTCCCTATGATCCAAGTTCTTTTTATCCAGATCTTGTGAGATGTGTTGGAGTCAATCAAAAGTAACATCAGAGCACAGCATGGGGCCGCCTGAACAGTGTGATGCTGGCCCGGTCTCTTTTGTAAAACAGAGATTACCTTTGTGCAGCTAAACTTCAAATTCTAGTTGGAGAGAGATTGCTCTGTGCTTCCCTATGGCACTTGTTCTTTCAATAACTACCAGTTCCTGAGTGTTTTGCACAAAGGGAAGAAAGAGGGATACCTGAAGAGAGAGACAAATAACATAATAATCATGGATAGTGATTCCCGGGACTTTGGAAGCCTGTTCTTCTGGTAGAATTCACTATAACAACAGCCTATTGTGTTGCTTAGTATATAGTATAGTAGGCCCTTGATATCCACTGGGGTTTGGTTCCAGGACTCTTCTCTCCCCTCCCCTCCTCTGCCCCATTGGATATCGAAGTCTATGGATACCCAACTCCCAATATACATAATAGCATAGTAAAATGATGTCCCTTATACATTATTTTTTTAAAAAAACCCAAACGTTTGTTTTTTGGAGTTTAAAAAAATAGTTACAAGCCATGGATGACTGAATCTTGTGAATGCAGAGTTCGTGGATATACAGTCCCCGATCTAAATGGTTAGAGCGTAGGCATGTCACCTAAAGTATTTCCCCCTATGAACCAGTGTGGGCTCTAAGATCTGCCAGGGAGGCCCTTCTCTAGTTCCCACCTCCATCACAAGCACTGTTGGTAGGTACAAGAGAGAGGGCCTTCTCGGTGATGGCCACCCGGCTCTGGAATTAGATATTAGATTAGCCCGCACCCTGCCCACCTTCTGTAAAGCCTTGATAACTTGGATATTCCAATGTGCCTTTGAATGACAGCTCCCGATTAGGTCTGCCCAACCCTAACCTGTTGTTTTGCCGTTTCTTAGCACTTTAATTTAATTTACTCCCAGCCCTG